CACTTTAACCATGATTTTCCGGAATTTTTGAAAAATGTATTTTGCCTATTTCTACCCTAATCCATAATCAAACCCATAATAATTTATTACCAAAATGATCAGCTCATCGAGCTCTACAAACCCTGAAAATTTCAGCCAATTCTGAGAAAGTCATGTATAAAGTGGGACGTTTCCCTTGGAATTAGTCTATATAGTTCAGGCATGCCAATGAGACAGGCAAATGGATGTAATGCACTTATGAAATAGAATAAATAGAAAAAATATAACTGTTGTGTAGATATAATAATGCTTGTTGAACCATTTATTAGATAATAACATTGAACGAATCCATATGGTAGATAACCACACAAGTACAAGATAGATATGGGAATAAATTGTAGGAGCATTTTACGATGTTGTTGCCATTCTAGTGATCGTCGCATTCGATAATATTTTTGCCAAATAACACGAATCCATAGTCCTAGATTTAATATGCAAATGAGAATGGATGGAACAATCGAATGAACCAATTGATCATAAATACCCAGCACAGGAGTATCCGTAGCAAAGCACAAGCCAGCACAGACAACTTGGTTATAGTGGAAATGATTTTCACATGGATGAATAAATGCAATATATATATATAAAACATAAGAAGATATCCGAAAGCGAAAATAAGCGGACCATAATGGAAACAGAAACGTTTAATACGTGTATTAAGTAATTCTCCATGATGAAAAATAAAAATATGTCGCTCAATTGTTGTCCAAAGCATCAATATAGAAACAAGTCCATAGAGAAACAAGTCAATGAAATTCCAAATGCGACAATATACATCAATACTCGGAATAACAACACCAGTACGTAAAAAGTCGAGAACCATGCAGAGATCAGTCAATATAGCTAGTAAATCAGCAACAAGTAAGAAAAATGGAGCATGATTCTGAAGTGCTCGTAGCGTACCACGATTCGACACAGTATGATAAATTAGGCCGATATAACAAGTGATCGAAGGTATTTGAATGGATAATAGAACACAAAATTTAATTCGACGACTTTCTATTGTTTCCATTCAGTGATAATAATACTATAATTATAAAAAGAGCTCGCTTTCTAAATGAGATAACTATCAGCTCTTTGAATATGAAAATTGAAGAGCAAACCCATGATGTTGTGTCCTAAGTCTGTGTCTTTTCTATAGATAATAGAGTTGCAAGAAGTATATTTATATTTGATCCTTAGGATATATTTTTTCGTATTTTCGACTCCGATATATCATTAGTAGGAATGTCTCATGAAGTGACTAAGATGGCATAATGTCGAGTATGTATAAAAACAATATTTTCTCAACACTACCATAGACTGTGGTTGAGATTTCCAATATTACAGGCAATTTTCATAGGTTTCAACAGTCTTAGTGTATAAATTGCCTCCACTAAAATCACTTAACATTTTGTTAGTGAAACTATTTGACCAGTCAAAAATTGTTTTCCTTCTGTTTCTGTTGATACTCAATCAAGTTTAAATAAAACTTGGATAAAAAAGAAATCTCAACCACTTAAATGTTGTTCTAGAGTTTGTTAGTAAATACGAATTTTCTCTGGAACAGAGAAATATTTTTGCTTGATTTTTTTGAGATAATACTCTACTCTATAAGCTGAAAAAAGTATCTAATTATTATCTCAAACGATTTAATAATTTTCATTGAGTTATAGAAATGAAAAAATTGAAAATGTCGCTCTACTTTTAGCATGAACACATTCCTTTTTGACTTCGGATACAGCTTTCATATTAATGAAGTTTATTAGAAAAAAGTTTTTTTTCATATCAAAGTACATTCTGAAAAAAAAGGTCTCTTATGGAATCTGTGCACAGGGGAAGAACTTTTTTTGGTTCCGTATGCAAACACAGTACCGTTTTTGGTTCTGTAAGAATTTATCGAACCATTTTTAAATTCGACATTTTGGTACGGAACCAAAAAAGTTCTTCCCCTGAGCACAGGTTTGGTAAGGGTGTGGG